AGGCATCCACTAGGCACTGCATATCCATGTGCCAGAGTTGGGGCGCTGCTGCACGTGCGCACGTGCAGGGGTCGTTTCCAGATCTCGAGAACGGCTCGACCGATTGCGCTCAAATTTGGTACACAGTTAGGGACCGGTTAGTAGGGTGCCGTGCACAAGTCAGTTGGGACCCATTTTGCACGTGTGCACGTGCAGGGTGCCGCTTCCAGATCTCGAGAACGGCTGGGCCGATTGTGCCCAAATTCGGCACATCGCTAGAGACCGGTTAGTAGGGTGCCGTGCACAAGTCAGTTGGAGGTACCCCCTCGCAATTTTGCACGTGCAAGGCCCACCCTCTCGCTCGCTCCGTTAGTCGCCCCAAAACACTGACAACCAAAACGATTCTCTATTCCCTTTGATCATGGTGTGTCATGCTCCTATAACTCTGCCGTTATCCTGGCGGAATGCCCTTAAGATACTCAAATGATTCCTCAAATGATTCCTTTTAAGCATATCAGGGGTTTTGGTCTAAAACAACACCCGGATCATTTTCTTCGAACATACCCAAACCCCTCATTCTTTAAATATCTCCCTTGAATTCTTCTAATATACCCTAGTGTACAGTCTCTGCCGCTACTGTCAGATACCGTACCTGTGCCGCTCGGCGCCTCCGGCGGTGACCGGTCGGCGGGCCGGGACTGGCCGGCCGGGCGGGCGAGGAGGACGGGCAGTCGCTCCCTGGACGTGTTGCTGACTACTAACCCGCGCCCCGCTGGGCTATTCAGCCATACGCGCCCTGCTGGGGATAGAACCTTAGCCCTCGTTTTGGATGTGTTACGATATATCAAGGGAAATCGGACGAGGGAGCTGAGAGTAATGAGACAGTTTCTGAGCAAGTTCTACGACGAATATACCTAGGGCATTATTATTTTCCCTTCTGGGTTTATGTGGGGTCTAATGCAAGAATACATTGAGATCAGTGATGGAAATCACAGAATGATACGGGAGTATTACGTGGGATAATGCGAGTATAGTTTGCAAAATATTCCCCTTATACGCTTAGAAGGAATACTAGAGGTTTCGATGTAAGGGTATTTTGGTAGGTTAAAAGGAGTGTACTGTGGGTATCGCAGGGAATAGAACAGGAATCATATTCCTTTCCTCTTCGGTACTTACTAGGGTATATTAGAAGAATTCAAGGGAGCTATTTAAAGAACAAGGGTATAGTTTGGGTATATTCGAAGAAATGATCAGGGTGTTGTTTTAGACCAAAACCCCTAATATGCTCAAAAGGAATCAAAAAGGTTCTCAGTGTAGGGTATATTTGAAGAATTTCAGAGTGATATTCAAAGAAAGTGTATTTGGGGTATATTCGGAGAAATGATCAGGGTGTTGTTTTAGACCAATTCCCCTAATATGCTTAAAAGGAATCAAAACAGCTCTCAGTGAAGGCGTTATACTGGTGATAATGCTTTCTATCACATGTGTTCCGGTTTTTTTCGAAAATACAAAACTTTTTGGAAAAAATGTAAAAATATAAATTTTGAATTTTATTATATTAAATTTTCGAAATTTTCAAAATTTCGAAAATTCGAGATAGAAGTTTGATAGCGCAGACTATTCTGAGTCCTCTCATGCAAAGAAATTGGATCTATCTTAAAAACTGAGCTCTTGGGAGCGATTGCCGTGGTTCAATGTTTTGCGTCGAAATCGGCCGAACATGACGTCACTCTGACGTCATTTCCGGCCGACCTATGGTAGGTACGAAGCTCAAATTTTGACACAAGGTGTCAAATTGATGCAGCCGAAGGTACTGAAAGTTTGGCGTCGATATGTGAAGTGGTTTGGAAGTTATTGCAGAAAAACTGGAGGGGGGCTATAAATAGCCCCCCCCCCCAGTGGGGCGCGGGTTAATAAATCATCGCCAAGAAACCGGGTCTCATGAGCTCTGAAGTCTGAAACGCATTAAAGTAGTGTTGGACATTGTTAAGAATCCGTTCGTTCTTTACTTCGGTATAAATATAACAGATAACGATTTGACCTCAGTGCTGTATTGAAGTGCAACAGCTTCGACACCAACAGGCAAGGCAATATCGAAAGGCAGTCACCGTATCACCAAGCAAGCAGGTATACACACGCAGCGAACATTTACGATCGCTGATCACAATTTCAATAATTCACGCGGAGTTATATATAAACTCGACAAACTCGATGATGATATGTAGACCTTTAACTGCTTGAATATCTGCTAGATAAGCTGTTGAAAGCTTTTACAAGATATGAACGAATGAAATGTAAATATCCATGCATTGGTCAGTAGATACAATTATTGAATTACCCGTTCACACGCCTATGTTCTCTGTTGAAAGGCAGCCAAACGTTGGAGTTCTGTCAGTATAGCGACAAGTGACAGGTGTTGTCAGTTGCAGTGGCCGCCAGGACAGCTGATAGACTATTCCGTTGTCTAGACTCTGCTTTCATGCGGCCATTTTTGTTCACTCGCCCATGCTGCAAAGAATGGTAATCCTACGCACGCCAGAATCAGCCATGACAGAGTGTTAACAGGCGGCGTGCGTGAACAAGCAAACGCCCCATCCCATGACTTTGGATGAAGTCGTGACACAGGCCTCATTTATCGCCTTTTACCACACGAAGTGTATTGTATTGATGTGTTTTAACCATCACTTTTGTACTGACGTAGACGCTATATAATCCATGTCATGGAAGGTCTTAAAGGGACTATCCCACCTTTAACATGGGGTTTGAGTTGAGATAGCCAAGTTTGCGGCGGGGTTCAAAAACCACTAACTATCTAGGTTGCAACCCCCGCGGCCTCTTGGTGTTGAAGAAATTCGTTCCCTTTATTTGAAAATGGGCCTTGTACAAGGCCCTATCTTCAACATGGAGCGACCGTTAGTGTGACGTCACCTCGTTTAGTCATTCTGATTTAAATGGGTTTGTTCGTTGAAAAATCGCTTAAAACTTGGTCTGAACTTTGTTGTGGTGCCTACAGAGTAAAAAGAATCAGCTTTATGACAGTAATGTGGCCTGGGGAAGGAGGTAATTTTGGGCTGTGACGTCACATATTTGAAAGTTTGTGTTTGGAATATGGGAAGCCTAAGATGTTTAATGAAAAATAAATGCCAGAACCGTGTTCCTGGTCATCCAATCTACAAAGTCGGGCACAATTTAACTGGTTTTAACAACATTTTAGTAGGTGGGATAGTCCATTTAATACATTATCTATATAAGCGCATCACTTTCAACCAATCATTGGTCTCTTCTCTTTTCTCATCTATCTTCACATCCCTGTATGTATATTTTTTTCTGATAGAGCTGATGTAGGTAAACTGAGTTCGTCATTCTTGCTATACATAAGCATAGATGTATAGAGATGCGCATAGGCGTTTTTTGTTGTTGTTTGTTTTTTGGTGAAATCAACATCAAGTACCGTTAGTCGGGCAGGTTAGCAGTTACAATACATTTGTTCTGTGAACGCCGGAGCCGTCAGAACTATCGAAAAGTATCAGATCATCACTAAAATAGGTCAGCTACACACTCCTAACTGCCAACCATACTGCCCAACTCCTAATCGTACTGGCAATCGGTCATGTATCATATTTCAGCTGTTCCCTGCGCATGGCTCATTTTCAGTTTCCTGATCATCGCCTCCGCAGGTCACTGACGAACGGTATATTCTGCTGATATTTGCAATATGTCCGTAAGTAGCTGCTGGCTGTCAGCGAATGGTCGCCCGTTACGTCTGTTGTGAGCACGTCCGACCAAACACATAGTGGCCTCATAGAATGGCTTGACGTCAACAGTTCACTCAGCTCACTCGCCGAGGACAGTTTGTGTGAGCGCCTGGGTACTTATTGAACACTGTTGTTGTCAGTCATGTTTACGGCGTGTACCATTAGATATATTACTGTGCAAACTCACTTATTGTGCTGTTGGAGACCATTGCTACTTCCGATGAACGTCATGTCACGCCATGTGGCCGGTGTCTATTTTGACTCATTTCCAGGGCGTGGAGCAATTAGTCCGCACATTAGCGGCACGGTGATCCGGTCGTAACATACCGAGGTGCGTAGGTCAGCCCCCCCCCCCCGAAACTCGGCACTTGGGTCACATATGGCGTCAGTTGGCAGCGCTACAAAGGTCGTCAAAGTCATGAAAAAATAGCTGCTATCTCATAGGCAAAGTCAAAGATCAATTCGAATAATCGGTGTAATCCGCGTCGCGCGTAAGAGGTAATCCAAAACAATTTTCGTGATTTTGGCATTTAAAATTTGCCCATAACTCGCGTACTGAGATTTGAGTGCCTATCTGTATGCCTCACCATTCCTCGTGCTAGAATGTCAGTTGCAAGGTATGGACGTGGGTGGCTTATATACCTCCCACGCAGTACGAGGCCTACACCCATTTACAGTCATTTGCCGAAGATTAGTAAGTGACTGCGTCGGTACATTCATTATAGCCTAAGTTTCATTGACACTTTGATGACACTAAGACACGATGGGCGCGTTGGTAATAACCTCACTGGGATCGTGCAGGCTTCGCGCACAGCCAACATTATCCAAAACATAGAACACCACTGAAAGTGGTGCGACATAATCTATCAACGGTAACAGTTTCTTAATTTTTCCTCAAAATTCTTGTGAAATCAAGGCATGCATCTTGAAAAGCATTTGCAAGTATTCCTAACAACACTGCTTATTTTACTACTGTGTAACTATGTATGCTCATGCACGGACACCAATTTGGCGTTTTTTACCGCAACACACGCTCTTTGCGCACAGAGCTTTATCTCAGCAGTCGCCGCGGTGTACCGATCGAGGTCGGTGCCATCTCTCCCGAGCTTTCTGCGCCACCGGTGTGCAGTGACATCAGCGGGTGATCAGCATAAACTCCGAGTGGCGCTCGTGAAACGGGGCGACGGGAGACTCCGTTGAGTTCCCTGCCCTTCACTGCGAGTGGACTCGAGTGTAGGAGTCGCCGCCGGTGTATGACAGGCAGGCTGGTATGAGATATATAATGTATTTACGAAATGCGAGGGTATGGTACAGTGGAAATGAAACCAGTCAACACCGCGGCAGCAACAACATAGCTGCCAGTCATGAGGGTCGTTACGCTTTCTTGCAGTGGAAACATGCACATGCTCTGGCTGATTTGATGTCTATGTACTTGGGTCCGTTGGCACATTGTAGTTCAACCTGTACCTGAAATGGGACAATATAATGTCAGAACAAAATCAGCGAGCAAATGCCACATCCGAACATGAGGATTGTGATGATGTTATAAACGATACATGTGAATTAAATATGATAAATAAGTGGAATGCAAGGACTCTAACTTGTGTGTGACTGCCGAATGCTGTGGCGGCAAAAGACATCGAAAGCATGCCTTAATCTTGATATATTTCATTGTAATATAACGCGAAACTAGACCTGCTGCTGACAGGCCAGCATTATTGAAAGCGAACATCTGGAGACTTTTACGAAAACCGGATGGAGTTATTATTGCGCACTGAAAGCATAATGTAGGTACTGCTGTAATTTTATAACGTTTCATGATTTGACCAGGCATGCGTTATGTATGCATGATTTCTGACCAATATTGCTGCCCAGGTATTTTCTCTATTGTTCTAAAAGTGGTGGCTATTTGGCTGTTTTGTGAAGTTTTCCATTGAGGTAGGCAGCACTTTGATACTGAACAACTTTAAATGTCAGGCCACGCAAATCTAAACCTTTTGTTGCTGACGTCGCTGCAAGACACTGTTTTCTCTCCGTCCATCCGTCCGTCCGTCTCCATCCGTCCGCTCTCCGCCCATGCACGCCACGACTACGCAATCAGCTGTACATACTTCAGTCAGCTCTAACGGGATCTGCTCACGTTTTTCGTCTCCATGATGTTGCAGCACTGCGACACTGAGGTCAGTAGGTGACGCGGGTTCAGCTTCATGGTCGCCCAGCTGGACGGCAGCGCGTAGGATTCGCAGGCGCCCTGGCAGGCATTCACCGTCAGAGCCAACGGGAGACAACCGGGCACCACCACCCGCTGCGTGTGACCTGCCGGGTCAGGTCAGGGTCAGGTCAGGTCAGGGTCAGGGTCAGGTCAGGGTCAAGTCAGGTCAGGTCAGGGTCAGGTCAGGGTCAGGTCAGGGTCAGGTCAGGGTCAGGTCAGGGTCAGGTCAGGGTCAGGTCAGGATCAGGGTCAGGGTCAGGTTCAGGTCAGGTCAGGGTCAGGTCAGGGTCAGGTCAGGGTCAGGTCAGGGTCAGGTCAGGGTCAGGTCAGGGTCAGGTCAGGGTCAGGTCAGGGTCAGGTCAGGGCCAGGTCAGCATATACGAGTATTAAGGTAAACTGGTTTCAGCTGGCACATGGTGTGGGACCCGAAACAAGCTAGTTGCAATATTTACCAGTAAGTTGCAATTCTCATTGACAAACGTCGACAAAAGCGCAACTGGAAATCCCTTGCACGTTAGCTGTGGCTGACAGACACGTCTCTAAGTGTACTAACTTAATTAGCCATCATTTAAGCCTCTGGACTAAATTTTGCAAAAAATGCAGATTTCACATGGCAGCAGGACGCAATTTGCTGTCGTTCGGCAGTTAGTAGAGGGTCAGTGAGGGCCAGCCGACTAGTCTACAGCTGGGCATCTTACCGACTAGTCTGCAGCTGGGCTCGTCGTACTCGAAGGCCTCCAGCTGACCGATCTTCTCCAGCTCGAGGCTTTGAGTTCGGTGGGGAAGGTGAGCAGAGAGCACACAGCTCAGTACTGTCAGCTCGACCGCCAGGAGGAGCACGGCGCCGGTCGGCATCACTGCGGGGCAGGGCGGGGCAGGGCAGGTCAGCGTATGTGAGAGGAAAGCCATGCGGGTCAGGGCAGGTCAGGTCAGGTCAGGTCAGGTCAGGTCAGGTCAGTGGATGGTCAATTGGTTCGGTCAAGTCAGGTGTTGGACAGAAGGAACGCGGCCGGATCGCTGCAAGTCTGGTCATTTCAGGTCAGGTCAGGGTAATCGGGAAAGGAGAATGAAAACTGCATCACTGCACGTCTGATAAGGTCAGTTCAAGGTGTGGAAGAAGAGGCACGGCTCGCATCACTGCAAATGGTCAGGTGAGGGCAAAGTGCGGAGACAAACAGTGGAAAGTACAATCAGGTATGAGGCAGTGATGCATTGCAATAACATCGGTCATGATGATGACGTAGGTAATTACCATCGACGCCTTTTCAGAAGAAATAGCAGAGGTGGGCATCGCTACCGAAATTTGGAAACCGCTACCGCTACCTTCCGCAACCTAAGGTACCCAAAGCGCAATCGCAACTCCGAAACTATTTTGCAGATCGTAAAACCGCAACTCACAACTCCGCAACTCCGCAACTCCGCTACCAACCTCTATTAGGTTCCTATGTTTTATCAGTTTTAGTCCTGAAGTGCAGTGTTATGTCTGACAGGTAGTACCTTTGGTTGACCTCTGTTGGTGACCTGACTGTTGGTGACCTTTGATGACGCCACGTGACCTATAATGCTCAATGCGCAAGTCATTGCGACACCAGTCGACGTAAATGACCTGCCAGTGCTACTCTTTGCATGTTTTAATTGTTTGGGATCATTTTGCCGCAAATCCGGACGAGTCGTATTTTCTCCCATTGACTTATAATGGAGAGGTCACACAGTTGACCTTACCTTAAGTCACAAATATAAAAAAATATGAGACAATACACTTTGTACCTATATCTTGTTACCCTTGTCACATGCAGACAGTTTCAAAGTGATCGGTCAATAGGTGTATCTGTATTGCTATATTGCCCTGTATTACTAGGGCGGGTGTTTAATTTTTTTTCGGAGATTGGGTCCCTTGACTTGACCTGGTGACCTGACCTGAGGTGACCTGGGTCTGACATGTTGATACAATGTGTGGAAAGGATGTGTTAATAGCAGTGTCGAAAACAGCCCCGCTGCCGCCGCCTTTTTTATATATTTGCGGAAAACCTTACGGAGGGGTGTCCAAACACCCCCCCCCCCGCCCCCGGCCCCGTGCTGGCGACCATAAAATTTGACTTAACCCTCGCTGTGTGCGGTGTTTTACAGCGTCTAACGTGTACGTCGGTTGGACCCCCTCCCCCCTGCCGTTCGGCCCCTGATCGAGCTAGAGCTTCGCGGGGAAAAAAAACGAGCGTGTTGCCCGTGACGAGAGGAAGCCGATGATACCCAATTTTAAGGTCATAGGTCATTGGTTGACCTTCCAGGCCAGGTCAATGACCCAAAAGTCGGGAAAATCGAACCTGCTAGAACTTCGTAAAGTGAAGCTTTTATGCTTCTTTTTTTTTGGGGGGGGGGGGCGCTGATAACAAATTTCATGTTAGTTTTGATCAAAGAGGACGTCTTCATGCATTTGGGCCTGGTCGGGTCAGGTCAGGTCAGGTCAACCAGTAGGCGTCCTACCGCCTATCCAGTGTCAACCACCACTGAAAGCCTCGTAACATGTTACTAAGGCACTAAAACTACTTCGTAAACGAAATCAGCTTCAAAAACTAGCCTGGAAACACGTGCAGTGTGCAGTGGAGTGCAAAGAGTACAGTGGCGCCCCCACCAGCGGTGGCGGCCCCGGTAGCGGTTGCGCTTTAGAATTTTTCGCTTCCGCAACTCGCAACTCCGCAACTTTTTTGGGCTCGGTAGCCGATCCGTAACTCCGCTACCAAGAGGGTAGTCCGCAAGTTGCGGAGTTGCGGAGTTGCGGACTTAAGTTGCGCAATGCCCAGCTCTGAGAAATAGTAGAACGAACTGGGATAAAACGTGGCTGACGAGCATACCCTCAGAAAAAGTTGGATATAAAATTCGATAATCGTGCTTGATATCGATATATAAACCTCAATGCCGATAGAAAAACCCTGACGAATATTAACAGCAGGTGTTTTCTACTGTGCATCGTTCATATGCACTGCGACGCGTTCTGTGACGCTTTGGACTAGAATGACGTCAACATCGAATAATAACGGCTATTACCCTCATCAACTGTCCACAAAAGGTAATAAAACTGCTGACAACTGCAACGAAAAACTACACTAAGCAATTAGCTCACTGACAGAGACAACTCACACTGCATAGTAACGCACTATGTGATATAGTGACGCTCATGTCAATCTCAGTAAGTCCCGGTTGCCACGGTGCGTCCCATGACGGGCGGCTGCAAATTGAGCACCCATTTCGGCAGCCACTATCTGTGCGGGGAACGGCATCCTGCGGGACTCTGGGACCGGCCGGCGGTAATGAGATGGCAGCTCAGGACGCAGCGGCGGCAGTGAATTGTGGCCACCAAGTCGTTCATCAGATGAGGAAGGAATGTCAGATAAAATAACTTGAGAAAAATATATGAAATACTCGGTACTGACGGGAGTAAGAATTTCGTTCTTCAATGGGATGAGTGACGTGTGTTATCAATATCTTATGCGATTGAAAAGGTGTAATTCAGCAGCGACCTGCCCACAGTCGTAATGTGGGCGCCCTGAACGCGGCCCATAGGTTCAGTTCCGAATGCTGTTCACTGAACAGCGTTCGGTGGGTGCAATGGTCAGGAAAGGCCATTTTGACCATCCAGCTTGACAAAGTGGTGTCAATTGTTACAGCAGCAATGCTAAATTGCCACACCCTGTGGCTTCATGTGCCTTATCTGATCACATAAATCTTTAGTTCGTCTTTAATGGCGTCATCTAGATAGGAGATAAATTCACAAACTTTTATTAAATCATTCTGGCATCCAAAACCTTCCATCAGTGCATTGTCAAGACAAACCAATGAGCCAGAGTAAATATATGTCGTAGGCATCGGGTGAAATCCGTCATTTCATGAAATGTCTAGGCATTACATGGAATGCCGGCAAAAACTGAAATATTCGTAGAAATACGGGCGTTACAGCGAATGCCTGAAAATTTTAGGCTTTTCATGAAGTGCCAGGCGGAGGCCAGGCACTCCCTGAAATGTGGTCAAAACCAATTGAGTACATTTGTTGCCTAGGCAAAGGGCTGGTTTCCGCGCTCAGCTTTGCGGGAAACCGATGCAAACGAGGTTGGGGTGGTCGGAACAGATCGCACTCTTGGCCTGAGAGAGGCGTTCCGAGAGCAGTCACTTTTTGGAGGGCAAGGGATGAAGCAGTGTGCATGCCGGGCCAGCGCCAAACAGTGCAACACCAAAAGGTGCAAGTACCGTAAGGCTGGAATGATGTGTACGAATCGGTTCCACGCAGCGCTCCCATGTGTCAACAAATAATAAAACAGTTCTGGAACCTTTTCTTTGAAAATGCGGTCTCTATAGGAGAGTTTCCAGACGATATTTTTTTTTACTGCCTATGGACCAACACAGTAGACCCCACACTTCAGAGAAAGCCGATAACTGCACAGTGTAATATTTGTGTACTAGCTAACAATAAAGTATACATAGGTACGCTGCGCTGCAGACGAGACGATCCGTGAAATATCTCGTAGTGTTAGCCCATTTTACACCAATACGATAATGTCCCTCCCCCTCCCGCCCGCCGGCGTGTATACTCGTATGCACACAACCGTCCGCGTACGAAAAGTTTTGTTACAGAGAGTGCCGGTCGTCTTTTGGGCAATCCATGTAAAGCCTAGGCAACGAGTGTACTCAGTTAATTTTGACCATATTTCAGGGAGTGCCTGGCCTCCGCCTGGCATTTCATGAAATGCCTAAAACTTTCAGGCATTCGCTGTAACGCGCCTATTTCTACGAAGATTTCAGTTTTTGCCGGCATTCCATGGAATGCCTAGGCATTTCATGAAATGCCGGATTTCACCCGATGCCTACGACATATATAAGCGGAAGCAAAAGCTTGCTTAAACCTATTGCTTGGGGTCTCTACGGAGTACGTAAACTGGCTGGGGGAGGGGAGGGAAAGGGAGAATCGGACGCCCTTGATCATGAGAATCGCAAGGCACATTTTGATGCGGTAAACGGCATCCGGTTACCGTAATCGTAAACTACATTATTTGATGCTTAAAAACAAAAAAGGCAAACGTTTGAGGATTGAGATTAAAAAATACCGAAAATCATATATATCGTGAGTGGCTTGAACGGCTATACCTTCCTTATTTTATTTATTGGCCGATTCGGTCCAGATTTTAAGACAAGCCTCTCAATGAGCATCGTAATCACAATCTTATCACTTTTCCGCTTTTTCAGGTAAGATAAAAGGCAGGCTTAGTAGGGGAGAGTGGAGCAAAGCGGCCACCCTAACGCTTCTCGCGATGCCAACGCTTGATTTTTAAACTTGGAAAGATTCTTTCTATACCAATGTGATCCCTATTAAGTTGCCTTTTATTTCAACTGCGTTTTATTTCCAAAGGCGTTCACATATGGAAGATATTGACAAAACTTTAAGCCTATGCATATTGGCCACTTTGCCCCATACCCTGGGGCAAAGCGGCCACCGGCGTCTTCTCAAGTCCCGATATGAGAAACAAAATAGTTGCCTCGTGTACGACTAGGGTATTTGATGGTGACAAGGTTTAAGCGAGGATGGACTGTTTGCTTTGTCAGCATCCCACTTGTAGGTAAACAAAAAAAGGATTTTCATGAAAAACATTTAATTGCATTATTTGGTAACTCATGCAACTGAAAAGTGGCCAAGATGAATGCATGACGACACATTTGAATATAAATAATGTTTTTTATCCAGATGGAAACAACTTATGGCCAATTGGGAGGTGGCCACTTTGCCCCGGCCACTTTGCCCCGCGCATACCGTCCGAGACAAAAATATTCCAGCTTAGCTATTAGTGGGGTAAAAAACATTAAAATTGGTAGAATACATGTACGATAACTATGCAATGCATGGACAAGAACGCTTATAAAAATTCCAAGCGGTTATGGAATAACATAACATTTAAAAAATGTAAACACAGTTGGTAATCTGGCAAGAAATGCTTTTCCGTGTTTCACAGAACAATGGTGACGGGCCTGAAACCCCGGTCTGGCTCATTCGAACGACCGTGAAGAGAAGTATAATTGGAAACCATAAATTGGAACTGACGCCAGCTATGAAGGGCTAAAACGATGGGTGGCCGCTTTGCCCCGGGTGGCCGCTTTGCCCCACTCTCCCCTACATTTCTTAGACGAGCTCTGATTTGAATGCTGCCGTAAAGGCCTTCAGAATCGGCTACCCCTCAGAGAGGTGGAATAAGCAGCTCACCTGTCTCGCACAGACCAGTCTCCGAGACTCCTGCTGCTGATCTGGTCTGCTCTGGTCTGGTCGGGTCTGGCCTGATCTGATCCGTTTAGCTCTGGTCCGGTCTGCTATGGTCTCCGGTCTCGCAGACACCTGTTGATGGTCTGCTCTGCGAGTTGCGACCCCTTCGGAGCCGGACGTCCCAGCAGCCCCCGAGCAGTCTGATGTCGTGTGGCACACCGCTCGCCGACCGAAGCCGGCCGCGGCTCTCCTCAGGATCGACGTCACTCGGGGACGACCAATCACCGTCGAGTGTGGGTGGCTGTGACGTCACTGGTAAGATTTTGTCGGAAATGTTGCGGAGCGGTGTGACACGGGCCGGACAGCTTCTCAATAGGGCTGTTTGAAAGTAAGGCATTAAATAGCCTCGTAAAGTGACACCCAATGGTGATGGCAGCCATAACGTGTGGTCACCAGTGCTGATGCAGTGTGCTTGAGTTATGGTCATAAACCAGGCCTGAACTACATACACCTCGGCTATATATGTGCAACGTCGGAAGCCATCGAAACGTTTTAGATCTTTCCGTTTTCGTCATCACTTGTCTGAAACTCTGAAGGTGTGACACTTACTAAAGTGCTAAATAATACTAAACAAATTACTTAAAAATAGCTTTGTAAATTAGACTTACAAAATAAGCCAATGCGGTCTTACCAAGCTCACGGTTTAGGTCAAGGCAAATGCTAGATCTGGTCACGTAAGTAGGTCTACGTTTTTAATGGCATAACATTACATAAATATGAAATTATGTGCTGCGCTCCCCATGCCCCGTGTCGGCCAGTGGGCTGGCGCCCTGCTCGGAAAATGAAGCGGGTTAATATACTGGAAATACTTTTAGTGGTCTTGAGGGCATAAGCAGTAGATATGCACTACCGAAGTATTTTACATTCCACGCGTTTATTACTTCCAATCACTAGTGTTGATGATTATGTTAACATCATGTTTTACTCTGTCCTTAGTTTTTGTTACCTTCTATGTCGCTACCCTACTCTCGCCTTGCCATCCAAAGGTGAAACTAATTCCATACATGTAGTGGACGTTAAGCCCGTCGCGCTGATATGGGACCTCAATGTGTCAGCGTTTGTCACCAAGTGTGGGGGTGTGAAATCAATAGCTCAATTGATTAGCCTACTTCGTACCTATTGCAGCGTGCGTACTAAGTAACCCACATACAGTGCAACACCCGTGCATGAATATTAATTGAGTCGTTTGCATGTGCCGTGGAGGAGTTTAACATTATCTTTCGCTTCCGCGTGAAGCGTTTGTAATAATTATTTGGTGATGGGTAGGTGTCAGGTGATGGGTAGTTTAGTTGAAGGTATTTTGGTTATTCTTGCATTTGGTGATCGAATTATCAACTTCTCTTCACTTGCCTAAAGTCGATTCGATAGCCGAACCGCTCCTCTCCCCTGCACAACGCTCAACAATTTCGAAGATAAGCATATATGTAATCAATATCATTTTTAATATTCAACAGAAAAGCTTAAAATATTGCTGAATATGATTACATATGGTTTATGATAAGTGTCCGAAACGTTTCATATTATTTAGGAGTTAACTTGTATTTGAATAATTTCGGGTCCGAAGTTTCGCATTGCATTTCACATAACAATTGAGCGCTCGTCGAATATAGCGACATTGATAAAGTGCTGAACTTATTTATTCATCACACCATAAAATAAATGCATGTTACAGTTCTCTGGAATGAAATCCAGAGTTTCACAGGTGGAAATACCTGCTGATTGGAGTGTGCAGTGCACTGTGCATCAGTTCATTTTGTATATTATTTTGGCGATATCTAATGCCATGGCATTGGCGCCTGCCGTCTACGCGAGACGTGATCATTAAATTAGCCGTAAGCGTTTTGTAACTCAGATTGAATCACATTTATCTTGTGCATCTAGTTTGCGATGGTTATCAGTTATCTCAGACACACGTAACTAACGTGCGACCGATCTGTCAATGTCATTTCTCCATTTACACCATCGCTATTCCTCGTTTGTTTGTTTGTTTTGTTTTGTTGGGTTAGGCCCTTTCGGTCGACAAGACCATTGCAGATCCGGAAGGATGATAGGAATTAGGGGGAGACATTGGTCTGGGCAGGCACCCTAGTGAGTAGCCGGGGCTGAGCCCGTCCAGAGGACAGGCCACCCAGCCCCAAGGCACTCACTGCACCCGGCTACGGGGTGCGCTCCCTCGGGAGCAGCGGTGCCGCTCCAAGGGAGCAGCCCGCATGAGATAAAGTTGCCTGTCCAGCCCGGAAGGGGGTTGTGGCGTGGAGGAGAAGGATTTCAGTATCCTGAGGATAGAAGCACGGATAGGTGACTATTCCTCGGGTAATTTGCGAACCAGTTTCGCTACATGCTGCACCGCTGTGCAAGTAAGTCCTGCGGCACAGCATCATCGCCTGCGCGCTTAGCCCACCATCTAGCGACAGATATGCACACTACTGTGTCGAATTTCACCATAGAGGCGCCTCTGTTTTAGAGGCGGCCGTAAACTGACTCGGTCGAGGGGTCAGCGCGGTTCGGGACCACGCGAGATATCGGCGCCGATCAGTCGAGAAGCGGGCAGCTCACGGCGAGTGGGGTGGTTACGGACGGGTGAAGTGGGAAGCAACTTGCACTAGAAGAAAGGGTGAGTAGTGACTAGCTAGTACATGCCGTAGTAGCGCGAGACGTTTTTCATTTTTCAACATATTTGAATTGTTATGTTTATGACTGTCTTTCGGTCCGATGGAGCTCAGGGAAGTCCCGCTATGGTCCGTAAGTGATGATGTGCGTTCGCACTCTGGCCGTTGCCGTGAGCGAGGGCAAGAAGGATGCCGGAAACTAGGTGACGGATGCCCGCTCAGACGCTCAGGCCTCAGTGCTTGCATATAATCTTAACTTTATCCTAAATTGTATTAAATATCATTAATATATTTATAATTTATTAGTTTTATTGTTGGGGATTCCCGATCAGGGTACTTGCAGTCGGCAACTGCGTCCAAATTTTGTGATGGATAGCGAGTGTATGACCCTGCAGTAGCCGCTGACTGCAGCTCTAATCGCCGTCCGTCCTTCCGCTTTTGGTTGAGCTGTCTTTCAGTGGCTGTAGCTATGCCGTCCCCTCTCCCCCTCCCAGTCTGTCTGCAGCCTACCCCTCCCCCGCCCTACGGGTGACCGTGACCGTCTGCACTCCTCCCCTCCCCTCCCCCTCCCCTCATTGACCGTTTGCACTCCTCCCCTCCCCTCCCCCTTCCCCCTCGTTGACCGTCTGCCCCTCCCCTTCTGCAGATGCCGGCGCCGCCGCCTCCTCTGCTGCGGCTCTACTCCCCGGTCCCTCCGGCGGGCCCTGTCCTGGCCGTAGCACCGCCCGACTGTTCTCTACGCGCGGAGCGCTGTGTTTACGTGGAGAGTCGCCGTGTACTGAGCGCTCGACAGCATGGAAGACTGTGCTGGCTACTGCGTCAGACGGCCACCGGCGCCGCCCAGCCGACCGAGGTCACTGACCTCCGTCCACCGCCCCGCCGGCATTCGTTCGTGTTCGAAATCGGCCCCAGGTGAGATGAGATCGGTCTAGAGTGACATCTGTCCAAACACCCAGGTGAGATCACAGGTGAGGTGAGATCAGTCCCAGGTGAGATGACAGTGAGTGATGTCTACTCCCAGGTGAGATGAGATCGCAGGTGAAGTGAGGTGAGATCACTCCCGGTTGGGACCGGTCCCGTCACCTCCTCACGGGAGCTCTGAAGTCTGAATCGTAGACGAGTCCGGCGGGAGGCCACACAAGGCCGACCGTGGCCTTACGAGCGTAACCTTGAACAGCACTGCGATGTCAAATGACCCGAGGCCGATGCAGCGCAGCGCTCAGTGTTGCATCATTCTGTGGGGTGCATGTGTTGCATAATTAGCTGCACTACGCTGGTGATTCACGGACTATTACCTACTGAAGGCCGGCAGAGCGTAAATAGCGCAACAACCGAACTATCAACAACATAGACACGGGAAATGGGAATGAGAGGATTGAGGAAGGGGAGCAATGAAGGGCATTGGGATGGAAGCGATTTGTCAACCATTGAACGAACAACTTGAGATTTTTTCTCAAAACCCAGGTAAGTAGTATAGTTGAGAAAAAATGGAATATGATCAGTCGGTTGAACCTTTTCACAATAGGCGAACTGGCACCTGTCCTGTCGACTGTCGTGTTCTGTCATGGCACCCGATCGTGATAAAAAACGTTGTCGCCTGTCATAGGTACACAATCTCTTGACATTGTTCTGTTCCACGCTACCCTCACCTTGAACACGACCCCGTATCTCCGATCTCTGGGACGAGTATCGCCTACCATCAAATAAACAAATCAGTCCGGGCCGGGCTGGGCCTCACAAATGGTCCATCGAACATTCCAGACTCGCCGGCGGCCTGGTAACAACGGCTCGCCCTATATATGGCCATGGGCTCGTCCGTCTGCCGACAGTGGGCTGTTGACACCACGTGACCGCCCGGGGCGCACTTCACGCGAGCCGCCCTGACATCACGTGACCGCTCGCGGCGTAGCTCATGCGAGCCGCCCTGACACTACGTGACCGCCCGCGGCGCAGTTCACGCGAGAGCCCCTGACACCACGTGACCGCCCGCCGCGGAGTTCACGCGATCCGACCGTGTACCGGGGCGTGCGCACGGGATCGTCCAGTGATCGACAGTTACGGTAGCTGTGCGCTGCCACGATATGTAAATGTTTATGGGAAGGAGGCTATCTCACCCAGTACATGCACTCGCGTCTAAAATTAGCCCTCCCATAACTGGTGCGACGGGAGACAGACAGGTTTCCTGACTGTATTACGTCATTTGTAGCACGAAAGCAGTTCGTGATAGGAATGTAACGTTTTTGGACGGGTTATGCCTTGAATTAAAGAAGAGGCACCTTGGAAAGACAAGAAAGACAGAAGGGAATGGATATTAAACACAAGCGGGAACAGTGAACACGAAGCCTCGTAGCCTGTAGCGTGTAGATTGCAGACGACTTTGGTGAGAATTATTTTATTTCATGTTTTACATAACTTCCTATAATAATGTTGCTCATCTAGGGTCTACTCAACAGTCAAACAGATAGGTGATGAAAATATTTATTACAATTTATTACATATATTTTGCCACCTTGCTCCC